TACAGTACAGTTTACTGCAGAACATCATTTTTTCATTTTGAAACAGACAGTCACTGTTATCGACTTCCCTTCTCTATGAACATAGAGCAATAAATGATGCAGAGTATATTTCCTGCCCATGGTACACCAAAGAATTTGATGATAGCTGTGCAATATGAGGCAATAAAACCAGTATGGATGGTTCCAAGCAAATTGGAGTTTGGAGGGGCATTTACGATTATATTTAACTGTCATACACCAGATCAGGCCAAGTTCAGCCATTTTTGTCTATTACGTTTATAGGTCCTGACAACATAATTATGCTCCCAGCCACCCTCTCAACTCATGCTTCACCCTTCTCCCATTTTTGGTCTGTTAGCTACACAGCTTTGGCTCTACCAAAAAAAGGCACGCTTTGGAAAGTTTTGGTACCTGTGCCTCACAGACAATTTAACGATCCATCCTGTTTATATTGTGGTAATATGGGTATTGTCTGTTATGGTACTATGTGTAGTTTGTGTGTACAGCTCCCGGATAAAGGAGCATCCACCCATTCATCTTTGCCTGTTGATGCTCTGCTGTTAGTTTACCAGTGTTTAAGATCACAATACAGTTACAGTATTGTGTCAAAAAAAACCCACTACCACAGGTTCCTTGAGCCATGGGCAGGATGTCGGGCAGCTATTGCCAGGTTTAAACTTGGTCCAGCATTTCTTTGGTTTGATTATACTGTACTACTCTACAAAGCCAAAGATTATTTTGCAAATGAGAGGAGATGGGTTATAATACTATGCATTGTTTTTCTGTCATTCAATGACTCATAACATTTACATCTAAAGCCTGTTGTGGATTTCTAAAACACAAACTTTAGAGCAGTTAGTTTATTTTAATTATTGGTAAAAGTGCTGATGGTATTTTCTACTAAAATTATTCAAATTTATTCTGAAAAATATCCATACTGGACTATGGTGTTTTAGTAATGATGTGAAAATTGTCTTTGGAGGGCAGACGGTTCAGATGAGCATGAGGCACCTGTTTCACTGCCAGATGTTTGTCCATGTGTTATTGCGTGCAGTTGGGGTGATGAGGGAGGGAGAGATAGATAAACTGCCATGCTGAAAGGAAGAGGCAGTATTTGGCTGGTGTGTGGGGAAACGTTCCACGAAATTTTATGACACAGAATTAAATAAATTACCACGCAACATAACACACAACTCTCCTCCGCTCCTCGTTCTCTCTCCAGGGCTCCATCCAGCAGCTGGTTCTGAAGTCAGATCCCACGGCCCCAGATGACCAGTGTGAGGAGGACGATCCTTATGTGAGTGTGCACCAAAACACACACAAACACAAACCAAGAATCCGTAATACGTTGTCAGAAGACCTCAGCAGCCCAAACATGGTACTATCCTTCCCTCTAGTGGTTGGAACAGTGCACTACAGTAAACCCTGTGGACAGAAGTATGTGGACAGATCTATCAACATACTTATGTATATTTGGTCCTCCTTATTCTAATTTAAGGACATCTTAATGCAGTAGCATACAGTTCTAGACAATAGTGCTGACTGCTTCCAACAGTTTGAGTTGGAAGCAGAGTTTTCACATGACAAAGCCAGCTCCATAAAGAAATGTTTTTCCCAGTCAACACCTTTTGGATAAAGTGGAACGCTGACTGCAGCCAGGCCTGAATTCAGTTCCCGACCTCGCTCATTCTCTTGCGCATTATTAAATGACGATGCGTCATAACATCATACAGTATGAGATAAGCTGCTCAGTACTCACATAATCTAATGATTTGGGTGTCCACATACTTTTGGTCACATAGTTAAACTATGTATAGTATAAAACCAAACTTGACAATTATGTTCTAAAAGTGGAATTAGTGGAAATGTAAGCATAGAGCTAACCTGCTGATTTCTCCTCTGATCATCTTTCATTTAAAAATAATATTATATGTATTTAACTTTGATCTGAAATTTTACCCAGGGCCCAATATAATTCAGGCAGAGTAATGCCTCATGGCTTGAATCAGTTAGAAGGATTATCTGATGTTTTGATATAAGGATAAATATTTTAAATCATTGTGTATTTTGCATTCAGTACTGATCAGTCTCACAGCTTGGTATACTTAAACAAAATCATGATTCATTCTACTGCTGTCTACTGCTCTTCCTCTAGCCCATACTTTACTCTCCCTCCCCTGTTCTTCTACTTTCACTTTCTTATTCTGCTGTGTGAATCAGATGGCATTTGTCTGCTCAAGAGCATGTCAATTTCTGTCCGTCTCTCTGTTTATCTTCTGACTCCTTTTTCCCCCGCTCTCATTTCTCTCTTCAGGCCTCTGGATACGGAAGTGGTGATGATGCTTATGAAGACATTGAAGGAAGAGATGAAGTGAAGAAGATTGTAGAGGAGAGAGAGTATACCATGGTGTGTGTACACACATCCGCACACACTCATACACACCACACTACCCCGCTGTCCTTCCCATGTCATGTGGTTGGACTTGGACCAAAGAAAACAGCTCTTATCCTTACAGGCCTGGTGGGGACTGACACATGGCGATATGTGCTGCTCCCTGCCAGCTCTGTGCTCTCTCAAAAAGAAAACAAGACTACAACAGGGCAACAGAAGAGAGGCAGGGGTGTAAAGAGTGTTAGAATATTTTACTTATGGAAGTAGCTCCGCATTTTGGGAAATTTGTCCTTTCGATTTCTTGCCCAGAATTGGATGAGGATTGGTACTCTGGTATTTTTTGGTGAAAAATCCTCCTTACTGGAGTCATGTTACCTTGAAATTGACAGTTCCTCATAAACTTTTTGGTTTGTGCATACATTACACACAAAAAACCCAAACAAACAATATGTTAATTAGAGAGCTTTAAAGGTAGCTAGCAGGTGTTTTTTTTAATTCTGGATAGAGCAAGGCGAGCTGTTTCCTCCTGCTTACTGTCTTCATGCTAGGTGAGGTGGTTGTAATCAGCAATTACACCACTAGATGGCACTAAATCCTACACACTGGTCACTTTAAGGGCACATAGACGGACACTATCATGAGAGTATAGGAGAGATGTGCTTCCAGGCCATTTTGTTAATGGTACCTTGAAGTACCTCAGTGCTGGTGTCAGGTAAGATCTTTGAAGTACAAGTGTTTTCCAGATGTGTGACAACTCATATCCGTCCAGTTCTGAGCTATTTGAAAAATGTCCACCTCAGCCACATCAGGAAAGTCCGAAGACACATTCAAATCCCAATTCCAATGCTTCCGGAAAAAAAAGATTTATTGCCTTTTCATTGCTTCTCTTTTCCATGGATCATTCATAAACAGGACAGCGAGGCATGAGGTCAAGATGCTCTATCACCACAGCCGATCTTAAAAAATAATGCAGAAATAATGTTGAGGTAATGCAGCTCTGTGAGCAGGCTTGGTGCACTGTGAGGAATGCTGCTTTCAGCCTCAGTCTGACACTAGTTGGATCTGGTCTGAGAGAAAACATTTCCTACCAGCTGTGGCAAACACTCACTTTCGCTCTTTTTTTACTGATAAACTGTTTTATTGGCTCTTAACAGATAATAAAAGTGCTGTTTACAACCACATCAACAAGTCAAAAGCTAAAATAATAATACACATGCTAGACTAGTTAATCCTCTAATTTTCTGCATGGTTGTGGAATATTTTAGCAAACATATATGCAAATTATTTCCATTTAGATTATGCGTCTAAGAGTTTTTGCTATTCTGTTCTCATTTCCATTGCATTAGCGAGAATACATTGCCTAATATTACACTGCATTAAAGAACTTTCTCCCTCTATTTGCACATGATGGCTGATAGATGATGGCTTGTAAACTCTTACTTTTTAGCCCCTCCCAGAGTTGGACCCCACTTACAGCACCCCAGTCCGAGCTCCACCCACTGAGATGTCGCATGGCGATGATGATGATGATGATGATGACATAGAGGAGACATCTGGACAGGAAGTGGAGATGACCACAGAAAGAGGTACAAAATAATATTTTTGTATTATTCTATTGAATTATATTTTAGGAAATTTGTATTTGATGGCATCAGACAGCATTGATTTGCCAAATCTTTTCTTGCAGGTATTAGGCCAAAAACACACACAGGCACAGGAGCATTTATTTTAGACATGTGTGCTGACATAGAAGTGATGGTGTAAGACACATGACCAACTCTGCTCCTCCTTTTGCATATTTCTCAAATTAGCCAGCAGATGGTGCTGGAAGAGACAAGACAGCCTCCTTCACAGGAAAAGCAACCTTCTCTGTCTCTCTTTTTCTGTCCACTGAGATGCCTTAAATAAGGGTTCATATCTTAATAGGCCTAAGAGGTTACTATTCAGTGTGGTTCCACCTTTTTTGATCTACATTTTCTTTTCATTTGCTCACTTTGTGTCTTTGTTACAGTAAGATCATTTCAGACGATTACTCCAGCCTCCGTACTTGGCACTGTAAGTTTTGATTTTTATTCAGAATTTAAATAATGATGATAATGGAAAGCACAGAACATATTGACATTTCAGTATTTATTTCATATATTTATTTCAGTGATGTACAACATAAATTAAAAATTGCTTTATTCATTGTTCAGTTTGAGCAGTAATAGGTAAAATCTACTGTGTGTGCACTATTTGATGCCTTGTTATATTGCAATGAATAAATAAATTACTAATATATTCAATGTTCAGTCCCTCCAGCTGTCTCCAGGACAGAAAGGGGAGCCAGGTGAGCCAGGTCCTTCCGGTCCCCCAGGACCACCTGGCCCTCCAGGAAGTGCCTCAGGGGAGGGTGGAGAGCCAGGACCCCGGGGTCCACAAGGACCGCAGGGACATCCAGGCCCACCTGGAGTTCCTGGGAAAGATGGACAGCCTGTGAGTTTTAACTGCTTTTTTAACTATTTGTAATTTTCAAACTATTCTATTTTTAAACTATGCAGCTTTCTATTTATTTAAAGAGCATCTTTTCTCTCTAGGGAAACAAAGGTGAAACTGGTGACCCAGTAAGTAAAGTCTTTCCAGTCTTGTACATTAATATAGGTTCATTCTTCTGGGAGTCATTTTTTTAGTATCTCTGGGGGAAAGTGATGCAGGAATGTTCCATTTTCAACACAAAAGTACTAATTTAGAGAGCTGCACTTTCTATATTAGCTGCAGTAAATGCTGATCCAACGGTTACCTTTAACCACAACATTGGGGTCACAGATAACATCCAAGCAAGTTATGGTCTCCTGGCCTCATTCCTGCTTTACCTCAAGTGTCATTGTGCTATAAGTGGACTGTGTTAGATGACCTCTGATGTGGCATTGAGCACAGCTGTAACTGTTTGTTTTTTTCCCAGGGAGCAACTGGGATTCCAGGATTCCCAGGACTGCAGGGAGAGCCTGGCCCTCGGGGCGAAAAGGTAAACACCCTGCTTTAATACCATGATACCTGCACTGTAAATACTTTGGTTATGTACAGACACATTACTGCCATGTGAATTGTCACGGACAAGAGTATAACGAGCCAGTGAATGAATCAGTAATTCATCACGAAAGGTACAAATAAACACATAAACACCCCATTGCTGTCTCCCTCAGGGTGATCGTGGTCTTGGACTACCAGGTCCTCCAGGCCCTCCAGGACCTCCAGGTCGACTTAGCAAGTCATCCATGTTCCTGGTAGGTCCATTGGAGATTAAAAAAGCTGAAATCCATGTTTTTTGCATTTATATAACTTTATTATATAATCTGTGTGTGCATTTATCATGTAGACACTTTGCTATTTACAGAACAAATGTTGATGTGGTTTGTAGGGTTGCATCTTTGCAGGTGCACAACAGCACCAACGCTCAGTCACCTTTGAAGCTGTTGAATTCAGACACAGTTACAAGCTCTAGTCTTTAAGATTTAGAATAATCCAGTTTGGTTTCTAGTAGAGGACATTAATCCATGAATCCATTTAGGTTCATTTATTGGCAAACTCTGTTCATTTGTGTTTCTGTTACAGCTACAGCTGTGCTCTCGGCCCTTCTTCATTGTGTTCACAGCCATTTTTATGCACCAGTAATATTTATAAATGAGCCTATAAAAACAAATTTGGTCCAAAATGAAACTACTGGTGCCTACCCTGTTGATTATTTCTTTTTATGGCTGAAGCATTTATGTTTTCGAAGTGTGTAATTATAAATCTGCAGGAGCAAAATGACTCCTGAAAGGAATATGAAGTATTTAGGGAAGAAATCCCTTCAGTTGTAGTGATTTGAGTCTGAATCCAGTAAGTGTGAATAGTGAATTAACTAACTGACGGGTCATATGGTGTGTGCCCATTAGGAGGGGTCAGGATTTGAAGACTTTGACAGTGATGCAGAGATTATTAGGGTAAGTGAACTTTGCTTTTTGACTCTGTGACATTAGACGATATTAGGCATCCCATTCAACAACCTCATTATTGCAGAGAGTGCAGAGATACTAAAAACAAGCAATTGTCACCTTGTTAATAAAAGTGTTGCATTTTGACACTACTGGACACTCACTGACAGTTGACCATTAGCTAGAGTGGAACATGCAAGGTACTTTCAAAAACCTTTAACATTTGAAGGACTGAGACATGTCACCTTTTTTCATCAGGGGCCTCCAGGGCCTCCTGGCCTCCCGGGACAGCCAGGGCCCCCAGGAACCCCATCTGAAGACGTCTTTCCAGGACCACCTGGGGCCCGTGGGAAAGATGGGAAGGATGGAGAGAAAGGAGAACCCGGACTCCCTGTAAGTTAAACAGTCTTTTTGTCTTCCTTCCTTCCTATTTTTGATCAATAAGTTACAATAAATGTTATCTTGTACATTTTATGTATGGTTGAACCACCAGGTTGCGACCCTTTTCACATACAAGACATATTTCTTCATGTAATTAGTGGGTCCTTCAAGCAACACGCCTACATACCTAACACTGAAAATGTTAGGTATTGTAGAGGATTTCACAATCATTTATGAGTACTGTATTTCCTCAAACAAAAGCTGTGAGTCAAATAAAAGCCAGATCTCAAATAAGATTGGTTAGGTTTTGTCACAAAAACAACTTGGTTAGGATCACATCACCTGATGTTGACAGCAGGTGGTGTTAAGTTTGCGTTAAAAGCACAACACACAAAACAAATTTAACGGGGGATTTGGGAGCAGATCAGAAAACAAGGAGGTTTTGTATTAAAATATGAGCTATTTATGAGCTTATCAAACAGAGGAAATTAGAAAGCCTGCTTTAATAAAGACCTGGTACGCTCTGCAGTTCAGTTAAATAAAGGCCCCCGCCACGGTTTGAGGAAATACGGTAATAGCATATCATCTCTAAACTGTAGATAATGGCATATCAGTGATAATAAACATTTCAATTCCTTTACAATGTCTACAGTATCTAAAATTTTAAATTGTACCATCTGTTAATTTTACTGCAGTAAAGCGACACAGCTGAATTTAAGGTAGAATATACTGGAAGTACATTTATTCTCTTAAACAAGACAGCAGGGATTTGTATAGAAGGTGCACTCTGCTCTGCGCATTGCTGACCTAGCTTCTGTTTTCAGGTAATTGAGGAGTGGTTTAGTGGCTCTGGTTCTGGGTCTGCCTCTGGTTCAGGGTCTGGTCAGGTATTAACATGTGGTCCCATCACATCCAAGGGGCCGAAAAGACAGTATTTCCCCCAACTTTATTTAAAAAATCCATGTTCGTTCACTGCTTTCCTGCCATTGCTTGCAGCCCAGTATTGATCAGTGTGCAAGCAATTTTGTGTGTGTGTGTGTGTGTGTGTGTGTGGTTGAGAGAGAGTCAGACCATTTTGGAAAAGTGTGCATATATTGATTGAGGTATGAAGTATGTGTCTCTGTGTGTTCAGTATGTGTCTCTACATGTTCATTTGTAAATGTTACTGCCTTACAGTGCACCTCCTCAGTAAGGGATCATTTTATATGTATGCACCCACATACCAAAAGTTCAAATAAGTCCAATTATCCTCAAGCTACAGTAACGGCACTTTGGCAGAAACTCGTGTAAGCGCTTCAGAACATGGTCTGAGCAGATGCAGTAGCAGTTGGGGGAAATGTGTCTTTTGTCTTTAAAATGTCAGAAGCTTTTACTAACTGTGTGAATGGACTACTCACAGGTTTATGATATTTACTTACTGTTTCAGTGCATAAAAGATGTATTCACTTCAGGTGCTGGGAGCCCATTAGCTTTGTTTAATATGTTCTCACTTTAACCTGTTCACCCTTGTTAGCTTGCACCTAGCGTCCACCTTTGTTAAAAAATATATATGCCAACAATTTAATAATCCATTCAATCTGTGCAGTGCACGTACGAAGTTGATTCCGACAGGTTTTTGGAAAAGATATATATGCATCTAAAACCTAAAATTGAAATATAGTCGTGATTCTTGCAGGGAGTCGATGGAAGAGATGGGGATCCAGGGCCTGCTGGGGCGAAAGGAGACCAGGTGAGGCTAATGAATATTAGTTTGCATCGTAGCATGCATCGTCACTATATATTCTTACTATGGACAAAGATATGTAACAATCACAATACAAAGTTAACTTTAACAAGTCTGCTTGCTAAACTCAAATTATTATTGTCCTTACAATCTATTGAATTAATGCACTGACACACCCTGTGCAATTCATTGTTGCATTATTTCCTTATATGTGAATGTACAGCACACCAACCAGTCCTGCCTCTTGCTTGTGTGACTTCTACCATGCTGCCTTTTGTGTGAGCTCACTCTGATTTCCCTTGAGCAGGCCTCTTAGTGCTCTGTTAGCAAAAACAATTACACACAAGCTAAATAACCACCTAACACAAAGAGCCAAGCTCTTAATGAGTTCACCCCGTGGGCTAATAAAGCTAAGGGGCTTGAGTGTAAACAAGTCTGCGTTGCAAAAGCTGCTCTGCCTCTTTTTGCAAGCCAGAAACTAGAGCCACTCTCTAGTCATTGCTGTAGTTCATGATATTTTATTTCATCTCTTTCACAGGGAGAGCCTGGTGTAAATGGGCAACCAGGACCAAAGGTAAAATCTTCCTATCCAATAACACTATCTCTACGTCAGCCTGTCTCTTAATCCTTCCTCCCTCACACTTTAAGTTACTACTGATGTAACTGATTTCTATATCATATCTCTTACAGGGAGATCAGGGTCCTCCAGGGTTTCCAGGCCTACCAGGCTCAGAGGGTCCAGAAGGGCAGCCTGGTCCCATTGGTCCACCTGGCCCTCCTGGGCCTCCAGGTCCCCCTGCAAGAGGCTTCACGTTCGACTTTGAGGTACCACTCTACTTACAGTATTGCTCAACCTGTCACAGTCAACATTTGATATCATAAGGAATAAGGGAATATTGATATGCAATCTATTGATCTATTGTGTTGTGGTTTTTAAGGGAATCAAGTATAATAGTTGTATGGAAGGCAGTCTGGACCTTGCACTCATTTAATAATCAGTGCAAGATATTTTATTGATCCCACAGAAGGGAAAGTCAGGTGTTACAGTAGCACAAGGACAGAGATAAGTAAAGATGAGTGAAGAAATATCAAAAGACAATAATTATATGTACATAAAATATAATGACAATACACTGTAAGATGATTTTATTGAAACTGTTATTTTTGGGACACAGTAACTTCTTAGACACTCCTAATTTAATCTTTATGAATTTATTTTGTCAATTTTAGGACTTGGAAGGATCTGGGTTGCAGAGTGGTTTTGGAGTTGCACCCTCCAGAGGCCCACAGGTACAACTGCATTGAGTGTGTTTGCATGAAGAGCATTTTGCACCACATTTAGCCTTTTTAGTTTTTTCTTAATATAATAATCGTCATTCTAGGTAATTTCATCAACTGCATTTAAACAGTACTCATTTACTTGTATTTGTCACACAGGGTCCTCAAGGAATCCCTGGACTTGAAGGACCCAAGGTGAGATATTTGTTTGTCTGTGTAACTTGCAGCATCAGTCATATTGTGTGAACTCTCAGTGAACTAAAAGGTTATGTTGTTGTATTAGGACTAAGCCTTTGCGTAAAGGTTGGGGTTAGACATGTAGTAGTTATGGTTAAGGTAAGCATACAGATTTCATTTTTCATTTCTTTCCTTCTTTGCCTCTCATAGGGTAAAGATGGTTTAGATGGCTCCCCAGGAAAGCCAGGTCAAAAGGTGAGTTCTGTTGGCATTCTGTTGTGCTTTATCTCAGCATGAATAAGATGAACTTCTTAAATGCCTGAAACTTTTAGGTCATAGTAAACAGCTGTAAAGCAGAAAGGCTACGTGGGATCAGTGTGAGTTTTTGGCAGCAAGCTGTCCTGCTGTTGCCTCATGTTTGCTCCTTACAGAAATGAGGTATCACAATACATTGCAGTGAATGTTGCAATGAGAATCTGGCCTCACCTTTATTATATATCACCAAAATTAATTCAGAGAAAGCTATTTGTGAAATGGGCCCAGCCATTTTGTTGTCATATTTGCTTGATTACATGTGGCTCTTAGATGCATTTTTACTACTCGTGAAATCATAAAATCAATCTTAGACCAGTACCACCAGCATGATGAATGTTTCTCAATGGTCTCTGCAGGGGGAACAGGGTGCTACAGGACCACCAGGCTTTCCAGGAGTTGAAGGAATAAAAGGGGCAGAGGTCAGTAAATGAATGGACTAATGGATACATGAACGGATGATGATGATTTAATTAAAATGTCAGCTTTTACAAATGGCTCAGACCATTTATTACTGGCTCCTTGGTGGAATAGATAACTGGAAATTATGGTTTTAAAGGCTGATAGTTTAATAGATTTCCTAAATCAGTTTGTAAAATGTCTTGTCCTTTTACAACATGTATATTTACTTTCAATGTAATTTTACCAGCTATACAAATACAAACAAAAGAACAACATGTATTCAGGTTAGCATTAAGAATAAAGCAATGGAAAATGCTGCTAATTACTGAATTTCAACTGCGAAACTTCGTGTCTTGTCTCGTGTTATCTACAGGGACCAAAAGGGATTAAAGGTGATCCAGGACAAAAGGTACAACCAGTGTGGATATGTGAACGACCAAACTCACACATGCACACACACACACACACTTTTTGAAGCTGAGAGCATTTTGAGTCGCTATTTACTGAAAGGCTAAAATGTCAAATGTGTTTTTCAGGGAGAGGCAGGACGAGACGGGAACAGTCTACCCGGCCCTCCAGGACCACCCGGACCACCAGGACCTTTTATCAACTTACAGGATGTTAGTAGTGGCTTACTCTGGGACAAACACTGGATCTTTTTAGCCTCTTTGTACCAACCTATTGATTTGTTGTGAGTAAGTCACTTTATTTCATTAACATCATTCTCCTTCTGCTTCATATTCAGCTAATGCTTAACGATACAGATGGTGCCTACAACTTCTCAGGGATTTTTGAAGCTCAGGGACCCGCTGTGAGTATCAGACATAAAAAAAACTTCAAATACAGACCAAATTATCTTTACATAATGAAAAGAAAAAATGTGTTTAGATAGCTATTGTTGTTTTATGTTTGTGTAGTGTGTAACAATCCTGTGTTCCAGTTAATGTTTTCAGCTGTCAGGTTCCTTATTCCAAACAGAAGGAACATCAGAAGCATTGTACATGACACAAATGAGTGTGCAAACAGGGATAAGACTGCAGCTGTAGAGAAATAATTTTAACTTGACTTTATTCCATTTAGACTTCCATTTAGAGTTAACCTGATTTTTATTTCCTAAATGTTTGTAGGGACCACAGGGTCCAAAGGGTGACATTGGGTTGCCAGGAGTTAGAGGACCTCCAGGACTGAAAGTAAGTGCATGCCTTGTCTCTGCTGACATACATGTATGTGTATGATACCAAAACCTAAACAGGCAAAACAAACATGATTTATACTCCTATTTTACAGTTTAATCGAAGTTAATATTTTATGTACATGCATGCGGCTTTTCTCTGTCTACATATAATGTGTTTATTTGCCTCCAGGGTGAAAGGGGTGAGCCAGGGTTTGCCATTGCAGCAGATGGAGCCATGATATCAGGCCTGGCTGGTCCCAAAGGAGACAAGGTTATATCCATATTATATCCTTTCGAGGTCCAGATCATTTTTTTTGAATGTTCTTCTTTTTGCGTGTGCTTACTAGGGATGTTTGATGTTTGCATGTTCTTCAGGATTTGAGTGTCTGTGTAAAAGTTATGACAATGATTTCATTTTTTAATGAAAGTGTACAAATCAGTGTAAATGTACTTCGTTTGCAGGGAGAAAATGGTGTAGCCGGACCAGCTGGAATTCAAGTGAGTATTAATAACAAAGCAAATCATTTTTCTTTTCAGGTTATATTTATATAACACCATTAACTTCAATTGTTTCCACTGTTATAGATGAAGGTGATATGAATGCATTTAATCATTCACTCTTCACTGTTCCCAACAGGGGCCTATTGGACCATCAGGACCCAAAGGAGAATTTGGTTTTCCTGGAAGACCTGTAAGCACAATGAATATAATATATTTTTTCTATGCTCCTTTCAAGTAAGAATGTTTTGTTTTTCTTCTGCTATGAAAAAGTTCAATACACCTACTGGTTGATTAGTTCAATTAAATCACTCATTGACATCAAATAGCACATTGACTCTACAAATGAACCAATTTTCCCTGTGGACATCATTAAAGTGTCATACTGTTGTTGTTTCGGATGTTGCTTATCTGTATAGGGTCGTCCAGGCCAGATGGGACCAAAAGGAGAGAGAGGGGACTCCATAGGTCTGCCGGTGAGTTGTAATATGTGTAAAATAATTAAAAACATACTGGTTAAGAATCTGTAAAGAACAATAAAGTCTTGTATTTGTGCCAGTTTGATGCTGATATTAATTTTACTACTGCGTCAACCTTTATAGCACCTACTTTTCCCCTTTCTAATCACTATATACTTTTGTGTTTTCTTGGCTATTTTTAGGGACCTCCTGGCCCTCCTGGTCTGCCAGGCCGCCCAGGAATATTCAACTGCCCCAAAGGAGTAAGCACATACACATTCATTAACACGGTCTCCTCAATCATCAGGTGTGTTTTATTTGTGCTCACTATCTTCTCTCCTCCCCTGGTTCCTAAAGACGGTGTTCCCTATCCCTCCCAGGCCCCACTGCAAAATGGTCGTAAGTTTCTGTTCATGCAATCACATTTCACATTGCTGAAAAACATGTCTTTATAAATGCATTTATTCATTTTTAATGGCGAATTCAATCTTATACAATAAGCTATGCTCCTATTTTGTCTATATTCTAAATAATATCTTCATCAAAAAAAGACACATAGGAGTGTATATGATGTACTATACATGTTACTTTTCCTTAAGCACATGCTATATAATAGTCAGTGTCCAGATTGAACTACTTTTTCTACAGGGATTTAGATTAAAGGCAAAACTACATATTCAGCGCCTGTCTATCTTCATTAAATCTCAGAACTTCATTCATCTTTTATGTAGATATATCTCCTAATCATTCTGCCTCTTTTACACGTATCCCCTCTTTTCCTTCTGTATACAGAGTAAATAAAGTGCATGTTGCGCCATGTAACACTGGTACTAGCTAACTTTTTATCACTCAGAACTGTTCGAGGATGGTTCTAAAATATTCCTGCATGCTGCATGTCCGGTCTAAAAAGGTGACGGGTCGTTGCCAAAACAGACATGAGGTAGTACTAAAATCACATCCACAGAAAATCTGCATGAGTCATTTGCATGTTGATTTAAGATAAAACCATACAGATTTTATACTTTAATATTTGATAATGAAGACAGCTTTTCCATGCTTGGATAATTACCCTGAAATGTATTCTCAACAGCAGTCAGTGATGGCAAAGCTTTAATATGTTTGTGCTCTGTTATTTCAGCTCAATCCCAATGGAACCATTGCAGCTGGTAAATTGAGTCATCTCTTTTTTTTGTTATTTTTTTTTTTACTTTTAAAACATCATCAGTGAGTCAAAAGGAAGGAAAAGCACTTAATTTAAGTTTTGCTTTTTGTCTCCAAGGTAACTGTCAGACAGGACTAAAAGGAGAAAAGGGGGAGAGTGGCCTCCCTGGGATACCGGCGCCGCCAAGTGAGTCAGCACTTTACATTGTATCAAAGGACAACAGCTCTCCCAGTGTATAAACACTGAAAATAAAGTTGCAGCTGTCATGGGTTCAAGTCCAACCTGTGGCCCTTTGCTGTGTGTCATCCTTTCTCCCGCCCCCCTCAAGTCTGCTGTCCTATCTAATAAAGGTATGTTTTTTTAATGTTAGAACTCCCTCCTCTGTTTTCTCTCTTATAGGCACATTTCTTCCCAGGGGTGGCTGGGTAAGTTTTTATATGAATGCATTTTTTAAATCTTGTTTTGGGACATTCTGGCTTCATGTATGTGCCATCTGACTCAGGTCTTATTTATGTGTGTGTGTGTGTGTGTGTGTATATTTGCCTGTGCATGTTATCACAGGGGGCAAGAGGTGAGCAGGGCTTTAAAGGAGAGAAGGGAGACAAAGGGGAGCAAGGGTTGCCAGGGCGACCAGGTATCCCTGGGAGACCAGGACTTGTGGTGAGTGAAGTTTCCATGGATGCACACACACAATCTCATCTTTGTGACAAAAAAATTTATTAAATAAGTGATTAACTCCTTCCTGACTCATTTCAGGGACCCAAAGGAGAGTCGGTGCTTGGTCCACCAGGCCAACCTGGGGTGCCCGGTTCACCAGGTATCCCAGGCTATGGCAGACCAGGCCCAGTCGGCCCTCCTGGGCCACCGGGGCCTCCAGGACCCCCTACCTCAAGATATGGCTCAGGTACAATTCATCAGTCACACATATGTCATGCAATTACAGCAAAAAACACAGTATAGAAATATCATCATAGTGTATTGTTCTTATAGTGTATTGTTAAACAACCAGTTTTGAGTTTGTATAAGTTGTTGACATTTTTTCTATGGCAGCTTTGACCATTGCTGGCCCCCCCGGACCTCCTGGACCAGCTGGACCCCCGGGACCTTCGGGCAACGCAGCATCTGTATGAAACTTGTTTCTTCTGGACATGTTATTTAACATGTAAACATATAAATGATACACTGAATGCCATACACATTGGCCACAGACACAAATTCATTGTTGCTGTAAAATCAGCACCATAACAACATCAAATATTCCATTAAAGTTTCTATTGATTGGTCAAATTTGATTCTCTTCATTTGTTCTTCAGCTGAAAACGTTTTCAACCCGGGAGAGTATGATGCAGCAAACCCTCAGGGATGCAGAGGGGACAATGGCGTACGTCACAACAACAGGAAGTCTCTTCCTCAAGGTTTCCCAGGGATGGAAAGAGATCCAGGTACCAATTTAGACTAGTCCTCTATATTTAAGCTTGGTAAATCCATCATTAAATGAAATAATCATTTTAAAATATTACATATGCACATTAACGTAAAAATATTGAACAGCCTTGACCAGTTTTTAGCTGCAGCGTACAGTAGTTGGAAACATACCCCAGGGCTGCCCCCCTTTTTAAATGATATGCATGTAGATCAAGACTTAACTGCAGTTTAATTGCTTTTCTGTTTATTTCTTGGATCTTTTCATGGTCAGCGAAGCATTGAGTGAGCTTTGTGATTTGCCTTTGGCACGTGTCTAAATCTTATCCTGATTAACAAATTCTGTGGGTATTGGAAAATATGTCCTTTCTGGAATGAGTGCTGGCAGATTCTTTTTGGCTGATTTCTGTGACTTATTCACTGGCTGTGAATCAGCACTCCAACATCACTACTGGCACTGACCTCCAGGCCCCCAGCCTTCGCTCATACACCCAGCACTGACCTCCAGGCCCCCAGCAAAAAGGGCTTTTTTTTTTTTCCCCCCGCTTCAAAAAAAATTAACAAAACAACCAGCCACCCCTTTTTTTTTTGGGGGAAAAAAAAA